ATCTTAACTGGTGTAATACCCATTCAGTATGTGCTTGTATGGCAGCTCCTTGGGATTAAAAGTTGTATGTGCATCCATTTAAGGTAGCAATGCTAAAGTCTATGCATCATGAGTGCAGAAGCTCCAATAATGTCATAACCCAAAGAGATGTATATGCCAAATGTTTATAACTTTGTGCAGGGCATTGAAGTCCCTCGGGTCCTCATCAACAGGACATGCCAACCCCGGAGTAAATTGGGCCAAGGGTTGACGAGATAAAGGTTGTTGCAAATAGAAATAAAAGTTACCATGACTGCCACACTCCCGACACATTCCAGGGAGAAGTCCACTCCTCCGTCAGTCATCTCAGACAGAACTTGGCTGATGGGTTTACTGTGATCCTTGGGGTTCACGAAGTCGGACGCCCCGAACACCTTGGCCTTCTCAGCCTTCTCTGGATTGATGTCAACAGCAATGATCCTCTTGGCTCCTGCAGCCTTGCAGCCCATGACTGCAGCCAACCCCACGGCTCCCAGGCCGAACACAGCACATGTGGAGCCTGGTTCCACCTAAAATAATAAAGTCTTTGCTCTAAACGGTTGTTTAGGTAGAAGTCTAAAAGCTCTGCACAGTGATATATAAAAAATAAAAGTACTTTATCTCATTGAAACATTTCCAAGATAAGCGAAGGATGTCTGTCAGCATGACAACGGAAAATTACTGGCCTGTTTTCAACGAAAATTGGAAGGCTTTAGCATGGGCCAAGGAAGAACAAATTACATTTTGGATTAGATTAAGCCCTGCCTCCAATCTGCTCCATCATGGAGCCAATCTTGACACCGGTCAAATTAATGTAAATACGCATTTTACAACTTAAAGAACCAGGGCTATTTAAGTGTTTGTTCTGGGAAGTGGGGAATTAGGAAAAAGTATTATATAATATAATAATATTTGGAGGGATGAAACCCTCTTTAATGGTCACACATGCAGAGCACACAGCACACACAGTGAAATGTGTCCTCTGCATTTAACCCATCCTAGTACCAGGAGTCTAGTACTAGGAGCAGTGGGCAGCTATTGCACAGCGCCCGGGGAGCAATGGGAGTGAGGGGTTGTCCGGTGCCTTGCTCAAGGGCACCACGGCAGGGCAGGAGGTGAACTGGGACCTCTCCAAGTAGCAGTCCACACTCCATTTTTAGGTCTGGTCGGGGACTTGAACCAGCGACCCTACGGCTCACAGTCCAATCCCCTACTGACTGAGCCACTCCCGGACCCAATGGCATCACGAGATTGACACAGAAGTTGTTTTACCAGCTTTTGGCCCCTATGAAAATACTGACAGAGCGACCATTGTTAAACTGTGGGGCGTTACACCGCCGTGATGACTTGTTTTCTGCAGTAAACATCATGTAAGCGCAGCGCTGAGCTGCCGACATTAGCCAGTGGGTAAATACATGCCCATAGCATACCTTAGCAGTATTAACAGCTGCTCCATATCCTGTGCAGATTCCACAGCCAATGAGACAGACTTTGTCCAGAGGGGCAGCAGGATCGATCTTAGCCACAGCCACCTGGTTAACCACAGTGTACTCAGAGAAAGTACCGGTCCCCAAAAACTGCAGCACCTTCTTCCCCTTACAGGTCAACCTGGATTCTAGCGGTGCCATCGCATTGTGACGCCCAGGATTGGCCCTGAACAAAATATAAAATGTTTTGTAAAAGAACCTGAAGAATGTTTTGACTGCTGCTATTATGTTATTACAGGGTTCACTGAATACCGGCAATAAACTAACAAAGGTGAAACGGTCTAAAATGTGATCTCTACAAACAGACCCTTAAGTTACACCAATGGAGACTTTAAACTGATAAAATGACAACACTTTCATCATTACCAATAAATAATAAATGAAAGAAAAAACTCAGTCCATAATGCATGAACACACTCGGAATGAAATAAGAAGTTCAAAGGGAAGATGTTTGTGGCAGAAGATGAGTGTTAAGGGAGCTCACCATCCTTTATCACACTGGTTGGTCTTTGGACTCTTACAGAAGCGACATTCTCTACATTGACTGATGAACAGGGGTATGACATGGTCTCCTGAAAAGAAAAAACAGTGTGATAGTCACATACACTTTACAGTGGGGTAAACATATGTGTTGGCACCAATAGGCCTCAGTTGACGTCCCTTATCCACCAATACCCCAAGAATCATTTGTTTAGATCAGGGGTCGGCAACCCCTGGCACGCGTGCCAGCATTGGCACGCAGCACCGTAACCAGTGGCACACTAGGAATAAGTGGAATAA